TATATATGCTAGAAGGCCCGTGCACAAAAATTTGTGCACTGGCAGGGAAGGGGGGTCCCTCAGCCCAACCTGTGCCCTCTCACGGATCACGCTGCCACTCGCCCTGCCCACCCTGCCCTCCCTGCCCACCCCGCCCAAGAAACCGCAGGCCCGGATTCCGTGCTGCTGATCACCCCCAACTGCCCTCCCCTCCTGGCCTGATCACCCCCAACTGCCCTCCCCTCCTGGCCTGATCACCCCCAACTGCCCTCCCCTCCTGGCCTGATCACCCCCAACTGCCCTCCCCTCCTGGCCTGATCACCCCCAACTGCCCTCCCCTCCTGGCCTGATCACCCCCAACTGCCCTCCCCTCCTGGCCTGATCACCCCCAACTGCCCTCCCCTCCTGGCCTGATCACCCCCAACTGCCCTCCCCTCCTGGCCTGATCACCCCCAACTGCCCTCCCCTCCTGGCCTGATCACCCCCAACTGCCCTCCCCTCCTGGCCTGATCACCCCCAACTGCCCTCCCCTCCTGGCCTGATCACCCCCAACTGCCCTCCCCTCCTGGCCTGATCACCCCCAACTGCCCTCCCCTCCTGGCCTGATCACCCCCAACTGCCCTCCCCTCCTGGCCTGATCACCCCCAACTGCCCTCCCCTCCTGGCCTGATCACCCCCAACTGCCCTCCCCTCCTGGCCTGATTGCCCCTAACTGCCTCTGCCTTGGCCCCACCACCATGGCTTTGTCCGGAAGGACGTCCAGTAGGTCTCCCAGTCTAATTAGCATATTAGCCTTTTATTAGTATAGATAACTTCAGACATAGAAAAAAGGCTGTGGCAGAGACCACAGCCGAGGAGCCTGCTAACTACTAAAATGGACCCAGGCAATAGGCATACAACCAGGAAAGCTTTCTTCCTCCAGTGCTGTAGATGAGTCATGGCCATATCGTGACAGCTGCAAGTTCCTTGGGATTGTTCAGTTCCAGAGTCGAGGATTCCTGTGCCAGTAAATGTGGAGTCATGGGTTTCCGCAAATCCCTGAGCCACGAGTTGAAGGCTGCTGAAAGGGATGGAATTAAGACAACGCTGGTTTGCCTACACCTGGTAGACACTGGCATGTTCAGAGGCTGCGGGATCCGGAAGGAAAACGAGCCTTTTCTGCCCCCTCTGCCCCCCTCTGCAGCCCGACTACTGTGCGCAGCAGGCGTGAGGGCCACCCTCACCGACCAGCCCATGAGCTGCACCTCATGCAGATCGTGACCGTCATGGAGAGCATCCTTCCTTTCCAAGCAGTCGTGTGCGTGTGTCGGTTCCTAGGAGCGGACAAGTGTATGTACCCCTTTCCCACTCAAAGAAAACAAGCCACAAACAATAATGACGCGAAAAACAGCATCTGGGAATCTTCTGGGTGGAATGCCGTTTCCCTCGGAAGACGAGCAAGATGTTTCCTTTCACCCCATCAGCACTTCGGACATTCTCGGGATTCTGAATTCGTGTGGACTATTTTTTATTGATCAACTTTTTAAAAAATAACGTGTAAAGTAACCGACTAGAGTGCTTGGAACAATGCGGTCAGCAAAAGTGAGGTGGAGCTGTTTTCAGTGGGGGCCAGTCAGTTCTTTCGGACAAGCGTTGTGTGGCGTCCCCAGGCTCCCATGATATTTTTTTTAATGAGCAGAGAGTCTAGAGATGATAACTACAGTGTGTTTCACGTGTGTGGCTTTTCTTAATTCCCATAGAGTCCATTAATTCTTGTCATCAAACTCTAGTCAGTTGACAGCCTTGCAACTTCCAGGACGGAGAGTGCGATGTTTTCTCCTGGTTCCTCAGTTTTTGCACAGCCTGCGCGGCCCTTTCCTGGTGTCTATATAGCTCTTCTAAAAAGGAATTTTGAAATCTCCATCAGTTTGACTCAAGTGATGTTTGATTTGGTAAGATAATCGGGTCTCTTTCTTAAAGTCACAACGACTAAAGTGTTACCTGGATTTTCAAACTTTCTCTCTGAAACCTTCCTTAAGTGTCTGTCCCTGGGGACCGAGTTATCCAAAAAAGATCATGCATTTCCTACCTATGAATTCTGCTGCAAACAGACGTGCCCTTTCCTCAGGAGGTCGGTGTGTTTCATTTCTTTGGGGGACTTTTATCTAGAACACATAGCAGATGAGCAAAGAGAGCATTTCTAAAAATGGGGACTTCTACATTTTAAAAAAATCCTCATTTTTGTGCCAACTATGATGAGTAAGGGTGGGGACGTATCTTACACTATGGAGTACATATGGAAGGCTGTAAAGCAGTGGTTCTCAACCTGTGGGTCGCGACCCCTTTGGCGGTCGAACGACCCTTTCACAGGGGTCGCCTAAGACCATCCTGCATATCAGATATTTACATTACAATTCATAACAGTAGCAACATTACAGTTATGAAGTAGCAATGAAAATAATTTTATGGTTGGGTCACAACATGAGGAACTGTATTTAAAGGGCCAGAAGGTTGAGAACCACTGCTGTAAAGATTCATTTAAAAGTTTTATTCACCTTGTACAACAGCAAATGACATTTTTACAGTATTTTTTAATAAAGCAAACTATTGCCGTAACTGGCTTGGCTCAGTGGATAGAGCATCAGCCTGCGGACTGAGGGGTCCCAGGTTCGATTCCGGTCAAGGGCATGTACCTGGGTTGCGGGCACATCCCAGTGGGGAGTGTGCAGGAGGCAGCTGATTGGTGTTTGTGCCTTGAATTTGGTAAATGTGTATTAGTGAGACATTGTAAAAGTGAACTTCTACCTCTGTATCTAAATGTATACCATCCACTTGTAAATGACTATAAACTATTATGTGATTGCCTTTTTTTTAAGACTGTCTTGTTTAAATGGCAGCCAATGTTTAAGGCTATTAAAATAAGCCATTGTTTACTAATTAATTGGGAAGTTTCATAAAGGACTGATTAAATTTAAAGAATTTACTCACATACAAAAAATAAAAGAAAAAAGCTGTGACAGTGCAAAGACCTCAAAAACATTAGAGTAAATTGTGACAGACACAAAAACACACACATCATGATTCCCTTAATGTTAAATTAGAGGCCCGATGCACAAAGATTCGTGCAAGAATGGGCCTTCCTTCCCCTGGCTGCTGGCACCGCCTTCGCTCCGGCCCAGAGCCGCCTTTCTGCCTTCCCATGCTGCCCAGAGGCCCGGAGCAGCTGGGGCAGTGCAGGGCGCCTGCCCCCGGCCTCTTGGTGCCTGTGTATGCAAATTAACCCACCAGCTTTGTTGGGTTAATTTGCATACTCGCTCCTGATTGGCTGGTGGGCGCTGCAAAAGGTACGGTCAATTTGCATCTTTCTCTTTTATTAGTGTAGATGTCCAGAACAGACACAACAGGCGGGACAGAGGACAGATCAGTGGGGGCCTGGGGCTGGGGCTATTGGAGTGATGAGAATGTTCTAAGACCAGACTATGTTGATGCTTGCACAAGTGAGTGCATTTACTAAAAGTCATTGAATTACATATTTTAAAAGGGTAAATCTTTGGTATATAAATTATATACCTCAACAAAATTGCTTTTTAAAATAGTACAAAGAATGCTGGTATACCCTTCACCCAGCTGTTAAAATCCTTTATAACAACAATACAATTATTAAAAAGAGGAAATTGCCCTAACTGGTTTGGCTCAGTGGATAGAGCATCGGCCTGCGGACTCAAAAGTCCCAGGTTCAATTCCAGTCAAGGGCATGTACCTTGATTGCAGGCACATATACCAGTAGGGAGTGTGCAGGAGGCAGCTGATCGGTGTCTCTCTCTCGTCGATGTTTCTAACTCTCTATACCTCTCCCTTCTTCTCTGTAAAAAATCAATAAAATATATTTTTTTTAAAAAAAGAGGAAATTAACATTGAAATAAAGACTGTTAACTAGTCAACAGGTCTTATTCAAACTTTGTCCTATAATGCCCTTTTTCTGATCCAGGATCCCATCTGGGATCACATTTCCTAGAGTTGTCAAGCCTCCTCGGCCGCCCCGAGTCTGGGGCAGTTGCTCGGTCTTTGTTAGTTATGTCCTTGGCACCGACCAGCACAATCCCTGCAATGGGCACCTCCCAGGTGTGGCTCTGCCTATCCTGCTGGTGGGCCTGGGCCAGCACTGCTGTCCGAGGAGTCCGTGTTTGACCTGCCAACACTTAATCTGTCTTACATTGCCTTGGACCAAAGAACTGTTACAGGATAGCGAGAAGCTAGAAAAATTCCGAGGCAGGAGGAATAGGGAAACTGAGACAAAATAATTAAACAAGGCCAAGCAGTTTGGACAGCTGCAGCTGGCTTGTAAATAATAAGCCATTATCTTCGCCAAACCAAGGAAACTTGAGAACAAATGGTTAGCCCTGCTGGCATGTCTCAGTGGCTGATCATCAACCTAGGAACCAAGAGGTCACAGTTTGATTCCCAGTCAGGGCACATGCCCAAGTTGTGGGCTCGATCCCCAGAGTGGGGCGTGCAAGAGGCAGCTGATGAATGATTCTCTCATCATTGATGTTTCTTTTTTTTTTTTAAGATATTTTTATTGATTTCAGAGAGGAAGGAGAGGGAGAGAGAGATAGAAACATCAATGACTGCCTTTTTTCCCTTTCCCCTTTCTACCTCTTTTCTGGCATTCTCTGGTTGGGGAGCCTGTTATTTAATTAATTAATTAATTAATTAATTAATTAATTAATTAATTAATTAATTAATTAATTAATTAATTAATTAATTAATTAATTAATTAATTAATTAATTAATTAATTAATTAATTAATTAATTAATTAATTAATTAATTAATTAATTAATTAATTAATTAATTAAATAACAGGCTCCCCAACCAGAGAATGCCAGAAAAGAGGTAGAAAGGGGAAAGGGAAAAAAGGCAGTTTTATTTTTTACTTTCTAAACAGAGAAGCCAACAGTCTCAAGGGTTGGCAAGATAAAATTGTCTGGTGCTTTTCATGAATTCTGTGAAGGCCACAACAAAGTAAAAGGAGAACCTTGAAAATTAATCTATACTGAGATATTTCGCAGAGAAATTTAAAAATTTATACACAGAAAAGTATATAAGGCAGACACCCCCCACCCAACTCTCTCTCAGATCAGCTGAGAGCCCATTTATGCGTGTCATGCTGGATGGTAGATTTGCTTCCCTTGCTTCTTTAATACATTTGCTTGTTTCAATTGCTTTCATAAATTGTCTTTATCACAATGCAGTCAGGGTCATTCGTTTGAATTCATTCCTACAAAACTGATGTCAACTCTAAGAAACATTCAAACCTATAGAGAATTTTTGTGAGTTTATTTGAGCCAAACTGTGTACAATTATTGGGAAGCAAAATCTCAACAGATGGAGATAATGTTCCAGGAAATGGCAGTTTTGTATCTTATTTTGTATACTAGAGGCTCGTTGCAGGAGGATTCCTGCAAGAATAGGGCTTCGCTCCCGTCTCTGCGGCTCCTACCCCAACCGTCTCTGCCACTTATCTCCAGCCCGTCTCCGCTACCTCGGCTCCCTTGCTTGGCTTCCTTCTACGGTGTCTTCAGTCTTCGCTCCCAGTCGGTATATGCAAATTAGCTGCCATCTTTGTTGGCAGTTAATTTGCATATCACACTGATTAGCCGATGGGAGGCGTAGCAAAGGTACGGTCAATTACCATGTTTGTCTATTATTAGATAGGATTATAATTAAGAGAAAACTTAATTGAGTTATATGAAATCCATTGGTGATAGATTAGGGAGGTGGGAGAAAGCAAATCAGGGAAACCTCTGGGATTGGATGAAGAGTAAAATGACAGTTAACAGTTAATGATTAACATGATTTATGGTCTCCACCCAGTCCTGAGTGGTCTGGAGAAAGGGGAGTTACCTGACATTCCAAAGGAATGTTATTGTAGATGCAAAAGTCAATAAACAAGCTTAATTAAGGGAAAGATTGATTTTGTCAGGGAAGATCTTAGGCCATGACATGACAACCTGCCATAAACTGCTTTTAATTAAAAAGTTTTAATTTCAGCCCTAGCAGGTTTGGCTCAGTGGATAGAGTGTTGGCCTGTGGACTGAAGGGTCCCAGGTTCAACTCCGGTCAAGGGCACATACCTCAGTTACAGGCTTGATATCCCTCTTCCTCCCTCTCTCTAAAAAATCAATAAGAACATATTTAAATAATAATAATAAATAAATAAATAAATAAAAAGTTTTACTTGCAGCACATTGAGACTAGTAGGAGGGGCAGAGGTGAGGAATGGGCTGGTCAGACACCCATGTGTACTGTTTTTTAAATCAGGACCGATATCTCTGAGGCCTCCATGAGATAGGGGGTCCCAGCCCCACACCAGACCCAGGGATCCAGAGCAAGGAAGAGAAGTCCCCGTAACTTCAGGCTATAAAAACCAGTGGGGATTGTGGCTGAGTGACACAGAGGCTGCTGGAGTCCCAGATGTTCCTCTTAAAGGGCCTGAGCACAAACTTTAATGGCCACATTTCCTCTGAGCTCTAACACCAGGGTGGTGGCTTTGGGGGAATCCAGAGACATATGGGGAGAAACTGGACTGTCTGGCATTGGGGCAGGAACTCAGGGGCAGCTTTCTCCCAAACAGGGATGCTCACATGGGTCATTGTTCCTGTGCTGAGACCTCCCCTGTCGCAGGGCTGACTGGCAGCCATATCTGAGTTTCCATCAGCATAGCCCACACTGTTCATTCCACCCAGGTGATTCCCTGAGAACCCCACCCCATCCAATTTGCAGCCCCACCCAAGCTGTTTGCAGTTGCTTCTCCATATGAATGGCCTGTCCTGGCTCAGGCTTCAGACTTTTCTAAAATCTCTTAAACAAGCAGCAGCTGGAGTCAGCGTGCCCCAAACCTATCAATAAAAAGCCCAAGAGCCAGCACTAGAACCACCCGCCTTGCTTCACAGCTGGGCCTCACCTGGGCACTTCCTAGCCCAATACAAGTAGCAGCCATCTGCAGATCTCTCTGTAGCTCCTGACAGGTGGCCCCAGACAGTGGCTGACTTTGCACCTCCCTGGTGACCCAAGAGCCAGCGTACCCAGTGATCAGTGTCAGACCATAGCAGATTATAATTCTTCACATCCATAAGCAACACACTCAAGGGGCAGACTCACTGAGCACCAAAGCCCCACTGAAGCAAGTCCTGCTCTATAGGGGTGTCTCCTGCACAGTATCTCTTCCATTATAGACACAGCTGGTCTTCACAACCAATTGGCTCGGAGGTCAATTCCTCCTAGTGACACCATCAGCAATCAAGGATCAATAACAAGATTGTGCACACAGCCCACACAGGAGTGCACCTAGAGTGCCCAGCTCAGGTGACTGGGGAAGCTAAGCCACTGGGTCCTACAGGACACCTACTATAGAAGGCCACTCTACCAACTCAAGGAGACATAGTAGCTCTACGCAATACATAGAAACAAACACAGGGAAACAGCCAAAATGAGGAGACAAATTAAAGAAGCTGCTTAGAGCTTAATGGGACTCGTACTGTGTTACAAATTAAAGAAATAGAAGCAAGAAAACTTATGGAGGTGCCAGAAAGAGAAGAGAGAGCAAGATATTGGAAACTATTTGAAGAAATAATGACAGAAAACTTCCCCTACCTGGTGAAAGAAATAGACTTACAAGTCCAGGAAGCGCAGAGAGTCCCAAACAAGAGGAACCCAAAGAGGCCCACACCAAAACACATCATAATTAAAATGCCAAGGGTTAAAGACAAAGAGAGAATCTTAAAAGCAACAAGAGAAAAGCAGTTAGTTACCTACAAGGGAGCATCCATACAACTATCAGCTGATTTCTCAACAGAAACTTTGCAGGCCAGAAGGGAGTGGCAAGAAATATTCAAGGTGATGAATAGCAAGAACCTACAACCAAGATTACTCTACTCAGCAAAGCTATCATTTAGAATTGAAGATCAGATAAAGAGCTTCACAGACAAGAAAAAGCTAAAGGATTTCATCACCACCAAACCAGTATTATATGAACTGTTGAAGGGTATTCTTTAGGAAGAGGAAGAAGAAGAAAAAGATAAAAAGTATGAACAATAAAATGGCAAGAAATATGTATCTATCAACAATTGAATCTAAAAATAAATACAGAAGAAATCTAATGAACAAAATAAACTGGTGAATAAAATAGAATCAGAGGCATGGAAACATGGAACAGACTGATGAATATCAGAAGGAAGAGGAGAAGGGGAGGGCGGGGAGAGATTAAACAAAGATTTTATATGCATACTAGAGGCCCAGTGCACGAA